GGTCAGTGAGCTCGGGCAGGGAGCCCTAATGACAAGGTGGCCACGTCATCTCACCCGCAGCTGGACCACTTAGAGGAGTGGTCGTCTTTCCTGTCCCTTCTGCAGGACATTGCGCATCCCCCAGGTCGGGTCTCGAGATGCAGGACCCCTGCCCAGATCCGTCTCTTGGCTCCAGTGCCAGTGTCACTGCTAACCACCTCCCCAACTAGTGCATTTGTCTTTGGGATCTCCTGCGGCCTCCAACAGCAGGCTGAAAAGCTGGCCTCATCTCCTCCCTCCTCACACTTGGGGGGGGCACGCTGAGCTCAGATCAGCCCCCAGAGGCCACACTGTCCTGGGCTGAGCCCTGATGGGCCCGTCCCACCTGGTTTGTGTACTCACGCTGGGTGGTCAGGCCACTTGCCTCCTTGCACGTGATGCACTCCTGCCCACAGGCCCTGGCCCTGTCCTTCTGGCCATCTCTACCCATCTCAGCCAGCCACCCTCCCAGGGCCTCTAGGATCTCCTGCCAGGCACAGCTGGTTTACTGGGGACTCCGCTTTCATCTGCTTCCAGGGAGCTGGGGGGTGGGGGTGTCCAAGCAAAGGAAGGGCCCTGTGGGGCAGCTGCCTCCACATCTCTCTGCCTGGCCCCGCACCCCCTACAGCTCACTCTCCTTCCCGTCAGCCTGCCTCTGGGGGGACAAGCAGTCCCTGGACTGGCAGACGATGGCTAAGTGGGGTCCCCAACCCTCCGTGGACGCAGGGGAGGGCAAATCCATCCGACCGGCAGACAGCCCGCAGCCTTGCTGCAGAGCCGAGGCCAGGGCCCGCCGCGGCTCCGAGGAGGGCCGCGCGCCCTCTGGCGGCAGGACCCGGCAGCGGCGGGGGCCCGCCGGGAGGGCGTTCTGGGGCTCGCCCCGCTAGGCCTGGAAGGAGGACCACGTTCACGAACTCTCCTTGACAGCAGGAGAACTGAGGTCACCCGCGGCAGGGGGCTTTGACAGAAACGGAGCACCCCCAGCCTCAAGGCATCCTCCCCAGTGTGCGGGGCTCACGGAGAGATGAGCACCCCCGCAGCTGTCTGCCCCTCGGCTTCTGGGGGTGTTTGGGCCTTTGATCTCCTCTCAGGGGACCCCTGCATGTCCGAGGCCTCGTCAGACTTCCCAGCCCTGGGGACTTGGGTTTGGCCTCGAAACTCCTGCAACGGTCAAGTCCAGGGCTTTAAGCCTAGTCACAAATGTCCATGTGGGGAGGCCATTCTCTCGGCCAGAACTCGATCCCGTCTCCTAGGAGGGGCGACCCAAAGCCAGCAGCTCGGCGAGAACGGACTCACCAGGGCAGAGCAAAGGAAACAGAAGTTTATGAACACACTGCCTGGGAGTGGGGGGAGGGGGGGGGGGGGGGGGGGGGGGAGGGGGGGGGGGGAGAGGACAGAGGAACGCATGGGGGCATAAGGGGATGTGGAATGAGGGGAGATGAGGGGATATGGGAATGTGGGGGGCGCTAGACTCCCCTTCCAGGGCTCCAGGACCCTCTGCTCCTTGCCTTTAACCGCCTGACCAATACTGGAAGATGGGGCTCTGTGGGGGCAGGAGCCTAAGTCCCCCACACCAGTCAGCGGCCTGTACCCTTCCCTGGGCTGCGGGCTTCCTCTCCCCACCTCTCCAGTGCCTCCTCTCCCCACCCTCCTCTCCCTTCAGACATACCCACCTCTGCACGAATCCGGATCCGATCTCGGCACTGCCCTGCCGCCCCCCACAAACCGTCGCTGAATAAGTCGGGTTTTCTCTGCTGTGACTGGCGCAGGTGGTGTTGGCCTTTCGAGGCCCTGGGCCTCTGACGCACTCAAGGGACTCAGAGGGACTCTCTGTGGACTTCGGGGGCAGACACCGCCCCAGACAACTGGGGGGTCACACTGGGCTAGGTCACCCAAAGAAGCCGCCCCTATCTGGGCTGTGAAGGGGGTCCTGAGGACACTGCTCGGCTGCAAAGTCCCTGCCAGCCCTGGGGGTGGCCCCACACAGGGTGCGGAGGCTTGAGGCACGGTGCGAGAAGCGCAGTGATCAAGAACGGTGGCGCTGACATCGGCTGTGACTCTGGGTCAGTCAAGAGTCGGGGCTGCTGGGTTCGGGCCCGTGTGTTATCACTCCCATGCAGAGGGCTGAGTCTTCGATCGCTCGCCTTCCCCGAGCTGCGTCATCACTCCCAGCCCACGACTTCCTGGTCGCGGCCGGCCGCGCTCACTGATGCACGCCAGCGAGTCAGGGGAACCTCACGGGAGCGGCCCGGGATGATGGCTCAGCACACGCGGCGAGCACAGGAAGGGAGCCCTCCTGGGGGCCGGAGGCCGCATCCCAACAGAAGTTCCTGGAGGGTCTCAGACCCCGAAAATCCTGCTCCACGGCGCACATGCAGCACACACCACGCAAACACACGGCCTGCCGCCAACACACACATACACAACACGCAAACACACAGCCTGTCCCCCCGACACACACACACACACACACACACACACA